TGGTTTTGACCATGCACTGTCAGTGACACTTACGGACAGAAATGCACTTACCAGTGAATACTATAAATTCAGATCCCAGTACGTATGCTGATTTAGAATATATATATATATATATATATATATATATATATATATATATATATATATATATATATATATATCTCAATGTCATTTCATAATGCTTTGAACATTTTCTGATAAAACGATAATGATTCTACAGAATTTGAGAAAAATTTTTAGTATGAGGCAATCATTTTCCACTAAGCTGTAAGCTTAGATATGTACCCGAATTTTAGCATTCGTCTTTTTGTATTTAGATGATAAACTATATACCTTACCCCCAGCTCCAAGTGAACAGCCACCAGTGAACGCCACTGAATGTGTTCCCTTCCGACACGATGGAGAGATCGTGAGCGGATGCGTTGGCGAAGAAGTTTTTTTATTCATTTTGTCACGATTCCTTTATCCACTAGTCTATTTGATTTACTATTATCAAAACTGCCAGTTTCAGATATACTTATCCTTTCTGTTAAAAAGCATTTTCCCTTTCAGACGTAACTGAAGAGCCACCGCCAGAGACCACTACCATTAATCCATTTGAGTCTCGCTCAGTACCGAAAAAGCCTGAGTATGAAGGTAGGAAAGCATTACGTAAGCCCATGTACGTGTCCGTAATCTCTAGTTCATTCGCCCAGAGCAACTTAGATGTCTTGACCATGATCCGGTTCCAGGGTTTTAAAAAATTATTTTCATCAGTTACCCCAATTGCCAAGTATTATTGTTTTCATTACCTTTATTACCTCCGCCAAATAGGTTATGCTTATGGCCGACAGCAGTGTACTTGAGAAAGATGTGATTTTATTGTAATCCTTTATGTGTGAATATTTTCATTGCATCATAAACCTCATAGTTTTGACGGAAGTATGCGCTCTCTCAGTGCTTCTAGTTGAATCTAAAACCACACTTTTGTTTCTCGTTTTTCGTTATCTGTTAAAAGATGCAATCCTTTTCCTACCCTCAGCTGAAACGGAACCGCCACCTCCAGAAAGCTTGTGCGTTCCCTTCCGATACGGAGACGAAATCGTGAACGGATGCGTGGGCGAGCAAGGGAAGGAGGAGATAATTAAGACGGAGGGAGAAGGAGGAGAGATAACCTGGTGGACAGTGAAAGGCAGATGGTGCGCCTCAGAAGTAGACGAGAATCTGAATCCCGTAACCATTATACTGTGTAAGTTAATTGGAATGCAAGTCATACACACACACACACACACACACACACACACACACACACACACACACACACACACACACACACACACACACGCATGCAGCATGCATGCACTAACATACACTAGCACAAACATACACATAAAAACAAACAGTAACACATACACACGCAAACATACACACAAATATACATATAAATATATATACACATATATGTATTTATATTATATATATATATATATATATATATATAATATAATATAATATTTATATATGTATATGTTTATATATACAAATATACATATAAATATATAGATATATATGCACATATATGTATGTTTATATTTATATATATGTATATGTTTATGTATTTGTATTCATATATATGCATGTATCTTTATTTAGTTATTTATTTATACGTATATCAATATCTGTGCGTGTACGCGCGTATGTACATTTCTGGCTTTCCTTCCTCGTCCCCCCCCCCCCCCCGGACCCGCAGGCGACGTGTGCGTTCCCTTCAGCCACAAAGGGATGCTCATGAGGGGCTGCGTGGGCGGCGAGTGGTGCGCCGCAGAGGTGGACGAGGATATGAATGTCTTGAAGGCTATGAGCTGTCCGGAAATTTCTTGTAAGTGACGGAGATCTGGCTTAATGTGTAGGTTATTGCTTTGTATGCGTCTTTATATGTGAAAGTATAAGAGAAGTGTATGTACCTATATATCATTTTTAATTAAGAAACATGCAGTGCTCTTGGTTATCAATTTTTTTTTTGTGAAGTTCATGATCATATCCGACCTTCTCGATATTTTTCTGTTTGATTTAAAGGGATGAAAAGTGTCAGTTTCAGATATGTTTGTCCTTTTTTATTAGAGTGGGTTTTCCCTTTCAGTCGTAACAGAACCACTGCTAGAGACCACTAGTACATTTGAGTATGAAGGTAGGAAAGCATTTCGTAAATCATTGTATACATTACAGTAGTCTATAGATCTTTCGCCCGCGACATCTCTGAATTTGAAGATGATTCCCATGTCATGTAAAAAGGAATATATTGCATAGAGAACCACATTTATTTTTTTCGCTATGTAATATAAAATGAAATCCTTTTCCCAGCCTCAGCTGAAACGGAAGAGCCACCTTCAGAAAGCAGTGGGTGCGTTCCCTTCCGCTACGGAGAGGAAATTGTGAGCGGATGCGTTGGCGAAGAAGGGGTGGAGGAGACAATCGAAATGAAGGGAGAAGGAGGAGTGATAAACAGGGAGACAGTGAGCGGCAGATGGTGCGCCTCAGAGGTAGACGAGAATCTGAATGCAGTGAAAGTTATAGCCTGCCCGACCATGCCTCGTAAGTGGAATTTCATATATATATATATATATATATATATATATATATATATATATATATATATATATATATATATACAGTATATACATATATATGCATATATACTCGTATGTATGTATATTTGTGTGTGCATTGGTACGTGAGAAGAAAATGAAGGTCTTTGTCATTTCCGAATATCTTAATATTTCTAGATACTTGTCCCTTTTAAAAATCATATTTTCCCTTTCAGCTGTAATTGAACTGCCACCTTCAGTAACTTCCAGCGAATCCCCAGGTGAGAATGTGAACCTTTTAAGTGTAATCATGTTGACATTTGTGATTTTGACTATGTACTGTCAGTGACATTTATCGACACATACGGACATAAATGCACTTACCAACTATAAATTCATATCCCAGTACTGTATGCTGATTTAGATATCTGCATGTATATATATATATATATATATATATATATAATATATATATATATATATATATATATATATATATTTGTTCTCAATGTCATTTCATAATGCTTTGAAAATTTTCTGATAAAACAATGATAATGATTCTACAGAATTTGAGAAAAAAATTAGTATTTAGGCAATCATTTTCCACCAAGCTATAAGCTTAGATATGTACCCGAATTTTAGCATTCGTCTTTTTGTATTTAGATGATAAACTATATTCCTTACCCTCAGCTGCAAGTGAACAGCCACCAGTGAACGCCACTGAATGTGTTCCCTTCCGACACGATGGAGAAATCGTGAGCGGATGCGTTGGCGAAGAAGGGGTGGAGGAGACAATCGAAATGGAGGGAGAAGGAGGAGTGATAAACAGGGAGACAGTGAGCGGCAGATGGTGCGCCTCAGAGGTAGACGAGAATCTGAATGTAGTGAAAGTTATAGCCTGCCCGACCATGCCCCGTAAGTGGAATTTCATATATATATATATTATATATATATATATATATATATATATATATATATATATATATATATATATATATATATATACAGTATATACATATATATGTATATATACTCATGTGTATGTATATTTGTGTGTGCATTGGTACGTAAGAAGAAAATGAAGGTCTTTGTCATTTCCAAATATCTTAATATTTCTAGATACTTGTCCTTTTTGAAAATCATATTTTCCCTTTCAGCTGTAATTGAACTGCCACCTTCAGTAACTTCCAGCGAATCCCCAGGTGAGAATGTGAACCTTTTAAGTGTAATCATGTTGACATTGGAGGTTTTGACCATGTACTGTCAGTGACATTTATCGACACATACGGACAGAAATGCACTTACCAGTGAATACTATAAATTCATATCCCAGTACTGTATGCTGATTTAGATATCTGCATGTATATATATATATTATATATATATATATATATATATATATATATATATATATATATATATTTGTTCTCATTATCATTTCATAATGCTTTGAACATTTTCTGATAAAACGATGATAATGATTCTACAGGATTTGAGAAGAAATGTTAGTATGAGGCAATCATTTTCCACTAAGCTGTAAGCTTAGATATGTACCCGAATTTTAGCATTCGTCTTTTTGTATTTAGATGATAAACTATATACCTTACCCCCAGCTCCAAGTGAACAGCCACCAGTGAACGCCACTGAATGTGTTCCCTTCCGACACGATGGAGAAATCGTGAGCGGATGCGTTGGCGAAGAAGGGGTGGAGGAGACAATCGAAATGGAGGGAGAAGGAGGAGTGATAAACAGGGAGACAGTGAGCGGCAGATGGTGCGCCTCAGAGGTAGACGAGAATCTGAATGTAGTGAAAGTTATAGCCTGCCCGACCATGCCTCGTAAGTGAAATTTCATATATAATATATATATATATATATATATATATATATATATATATATATATGTGCCTATACATATACATACATATAAACATCAAGTTATGCGTGTATATATTATCTATAAGTAAATGAATAAAGGAATAAGAGAAATGTATATATATATATATATATATATATATATATATATATATATATATATATATATATATATATATATATATATATATATATATATATATATATATATATATATATATATAGTATAGTATATATATATATATATATATATATATACTCGTATGTATGTATATTTATTTGAGTGTGTGCATTGGTACGTGAGAATAAAATGAAGGTCTTTGTCATTTCCGAATATCTTGATATTTCATACTTATCCTTTTAAAAATCATATTCCCTTTCAGCTGTAATTGAACTGCCCCCTTCAGTAACCTCCAGCGAATCCCCAGGTGAGAATGTGAACCTCTTAAGTGTAATCATGTTGACATTGGAGGTTTTGACCATGTACTGTCAGTGGCACTCATCGACACATACGGACATAAATGCACGTACCTGTGAATACTATAAATTCACATCCCAGTACTGTATGCTGATATATAAGCTTAAAAGAGTTAGATATGAACACGAATTTTAGCATTCGTCCTTCTGTTTTTAGATAATGAACTGTATACCTTACCCTCAGCTCCAAGTGAACAGCCACTAGTGAACGCCACGGCATGTGTTCCCTTCCGACACGATGGAGAAATCGTGAGTGGATGTGTTGGCGAAGAAGGGTGTCGACTTGGAGGGAGAAGGAGGAGTGATAAACAGGGAGACAGTGAGCGGCAGATGGTGCGCCTCAGAGGTAGACGAGAATCTGAATGTAGTGAAAGTTATAGCCTGCCCGACCATGCCTCGTAAGTGGAATTTCATATATATATAATATAATATATATATATATATATATATATATTATATATCCTATACATATACATACATATAAACATCAAGTTATGCGTGTATATATTATCTATAAGTAAATAATAAAGGAATAAGAGAAATTATATATATATATATATATATATATATATATATATATTATATATATATATATATATATATATATATATATATATATATATATATAGTATATACATATATATATGTATATATACTCGTATGTATGTATATTTATTTGAGTGTGTGCATTGGTACGTGAGAATAAAATGAAGGTCTATTTCCGAATATCTTGATATTTCATACTTATCCTTTTTAAAAATCATATATTCCCTTTCAGCTGTAATTGAACTGCCCCCTTCAGTAACTTCCAGCGAATCCCCAGGTGAGAATGTGAACCTCTTATGTGTAATCATGTTGACATTCGTGGTTTTGACCATGTACTGTCAGTGACACTCATCGACACATACGGACATAAATGCACGTACCTGTGAATACTATAAATTCACATCCCAGTACTGTATGCTGATATATAAGCTTAAAAGAGTTAGATATGAACACGAATTTTAGCATTCGTCCTTCTGTTTTTAGATAATGAACTGTATACCTTACCCTCAGCTCCAAGTGAACAGCCACTAGTGAACGCCACGGCATGTGTTCCCTTCCGATACGGTGGAGAAATCGTGAGTGGATGTGTTGGCGAAGAAGGGAAGTGGGCCATAATTGAGGTAGTGGGAGAAGGAGGAGTGAGAGGGTGGACAGTGAAGGGCAAATGGTGCGCCACAGAAGTAGACGAGAATCAGAATGTCGCATCAATTACAACCTGCACAACCGCCCCTGGTAAGTGAATTCGAATCCAAGTTATGCACATTTTTTTCCATATGATGTACACATACTTGAACACACGCACACACACAACTATATATACACATGTATATGTATGTTTATGTCAGTATATGTATGTATATATACATATATATACACATTTTTACATATAGATAAATACAGATAGATAGATAAAAAGATACATATGCATATACATATGCATATACATATATATGTATATATACGAATAAATACATATACATGTATCACATATACATATATATAAATATATACAGACGCATTTATATATGTATGTATATATATTTATATACATACATATGTATGCATACGATTAAATATGTATATATATTTGCATATATATATATCTATACATATATACATATATACATATATACATATATACATATATATATATATATATATATATATATATATATATATATATATATATATATATATATATAAAGTATGTGCGTGCTTACCCATCGCCCATCTTGGATTTGCAGGCGAAGTGTGCGTTCCCTTCCGATACAAAGATGAAATCGTAAGAGGCTGCGCAGGCGAGGATGGGAAGGAAGAGATCATTGAGACGGAGGGAGAAAGAGGAGAGATCTACAGTTGGAAGGCGATCGGCAGATGGTGCGCCTCCGAGGTGGACAAGAATCTGAATATCAAGAGGATTATAAACTGTCCGGTTATTCCTCGTAAGTGACGGACATTTGACCTCATATTTGTGTCTTGTTCTCTTTGGTATAATTGTTATTAAAGTTATGTGATTTCTGGAACAGGACCCAACTTCCCAAAATGGCAGGGTCAGAGAAAACAATTGTCATGCATGTTATATAAGGATATATTCATCTCCCCTCAGCTGCACACACACACACACACACACACACACACACACACACACACACACACACACACACACACACACACACACACACACACACACACACACACACACACACATACATATACATCTATATCTATACTATATGTATTTGTGTGTATGTGTGTATGCCACTGTAATCCAGAAATGATTGTAGGATATAGTTTTCAAGTTAACTCTAGATAGGTTGTTGATCTTATTTTTATTTTGATATCTGTCAAAAGCTGATGTTTCCTCCCCAGATAAGCCAAAAGTGCCACCCATGGGTTCCGCCATTACGACCACAGGTGAGGCAGTGAACCCTTTTGAGAAACCACTTCTCATAGGTGCATATTCACATGAAGATAGAAAGTCTGTATGTATATGTATCAATATCTTCTTAAATAAGCCATCATGAAAACAGAGAAGACCG